TTCGGGGCCCCAAACACGAGAGCAGATGGAGACACGATGAGCAGGATTTTAATTACAGATGACAGAAGGTGTGTGTGTGCTTGAAGTGGTTTTTGATAACAGAATGAGTATTTACATAAAGAGAACCCCCTCTCTCTCTCTGCTTCTCATTCTCTCCTTACCTCACTTGCCCTCACTCACCCATTCTGTTAAGAGCATTTACATATCTGAGGGCACACATCAAAGAGCAAACCTCTTCCTTCCAAATCAACCTCCTGTGTGTGTCTGAGGTTTATTTACTGAATACATCAGAGGACACACGTCTCCATTATTATCCCTGTTTCTGTTTAACATAAATCTGTTCAACCCTGGTGGCATGAAAATGAAACATCTCAACACACATGAGCTGAAGAAACTACTCTTTAATGTTGAAATATACAGAAAAATGACCAGATACTCGTTTTTTATTGCTTTTACATTAATTTAGAGGTAGATCAGGTAATATTAAACTACAAACAAAGCATCAGACCATCAGGTTTCCCAATGTTAAAGACACATTTAGACCTTAGGGAAGTTCACACTTGGGAGTTTAAATTGAATTTTAAAAAACAAACATTAAAAAAAACTGCAGAAAACTTTTTGGTGATTCAGTTGTCCAGTTATAGAATTACATGTACGTACTGAATAAATAACTTTGTGAATGTGAAGCCTGCAGTTCCTCTAATGTCCACTAGAGTGACTGTGTTAAAACATCTGACTTTACAAGACAAACAAACATATTTACACCCTGCTACAATAAAGGTTTTGAACCCTATAGCTAATTCCCCTCTTCTTAACAACTCTAAGGGAGGGTGAATTTTTTATAAGTCATCTGTTTAAATTATATTAAGGTTTAAAGTTTGCATTATTGGGGCGTGGCCTCTTTGACTGACAGGTGGATGATGACACAGGTGGCTAAGCTTCCCCTCAGCTAATTGGAGTTCCTGAATTGGACCCCTGGACCCTGTTTATGTTGTTGGAGCATTTTTATTGTGATTATAAGACAAAAAAAATACAGATTCCTGATTGGCTGACCAGATCCCAATAAACGATATGTGTAAGTGTGGGACAAAGTGTTAAAAATGCTGGGAGGTAATCCAATATATGTGAATGCAATTTTCCCAATTCTTTTTTTAAGTAAATATAATAAGATTTAAAGGGCGCTCATGTGATAGTCTTTACATACTCCTGCTGTTCCAACTGAAACTGTCTGTGGGTGTCAGTAGCGATGTATCCATAGATTATGTCAATAAAAAGTACACCAGAGTTTAGCTATTTTTAGTCAGTTGTGGCACAGCATACTGTGTCACTTCACACCAGACTTGCTTCCGTGCAAAATCAAAACAACTACAACAAAAACACTATTTTGATTCCAAAATACTGACACTCCATTTCATTTGTGGTGGTTCCAATCATAATCACTAAAATGTGAAAATCTTATGACTTTCTGGTAATTTGTAACATTCCCAACATTAAACAGGCTAATCTTTATTTGACACATATAAAAAAGCCTTCCCTTGATATGCACTGGGTAAAAGCCACACTTTAGAAAAAGTGCAGAAGAAGTCAAAATGTGAGACAGATGTGGGACAATGTATAAAAGTCTCAATTAAAGAGAGAGATCTGGTCTGACTGCCCAAGAAGTCATTAATCCAGCTTCAATTACTCTAAGTTACTCAGCAGTAATTACAACATAAAGTATCAGAGTGGGTGTTGTGGGGTTTTACTGTGTTGTGGGCTAAACGCAGTCCCCATAGAAACCGCTCAAGTTCGGAGCTCGTCTTCATTGTTTCTCTCATTACGCCGTCTTTTCCCACTTTTAAACCAGTTTTTGGTTGTTGTGTCGTCTCCTTTCAGATCTGACCTCCTGGAAACCTCTGGTGCTTTCAGCCGCTTCTGTCCTCTCCTACCTGAACAGTCACCATATGTTCAGGTCTGAACCTCTGGAACGAGGGCTCAAAGGGGTCCATCAGCCTGAGACCAGAGCAGGAGGAACAGGTTTAACCTTCTGAAACCAAAGAACTTCACTTCAAAGAAAGTCCTTCCAGACACACTAATACATCCACAACTAAACAAACGACTGTAGACTTTAGGAAAAAAAAATCCTACAACATCCTATCGTGCGGGGATAAATGACCAGCCTGATCTTCAAGCTTCAACTCCACTAAAGGAGGCAATAAACAAGCACTAAAGGGTCTTTTGTTATGTACCTAGAGAATCTAACCCACAACCAGGCTCATATTTAGGGTCATGTCATTCAGTTAGGAACTTTAATTAGCAAATTTAAAAAGTTAAGCAAAAATCTGACTGCAGCAGATCACAGTTCATATACTGACCCCTGGTGGTGCTCCAGTGACTTCAACCAGACGGCTGGGTTTAAAGGGATGTGAAAAGAGCAGTGAGGTGTTCATATGAGCAGGGAAACAGGGTCTGTTTCTCCCATTTGTACCAGCAGCTAAAAGAGCTCTTCCTAACATGCTTTGTCTTTTATGCATGACGCTCACTTTGTGCTTTGAACAATACCACAGTTTACACCCTTTACACTGTGCAGGTGTCCGTGGAGATGACTTTATTTATGATACCACATGTCATCATGACCAGAACACAGACCTGTACGCTTGCACTCTGACGCACGGTCAGTCTTGCCTCAACGACGCGTCCTCTGTTCCAGCAGCCAAACGGAGGCGATCCTGCTGGCGTAGATCACATAAGACCAGGACAAAACCACAACTGCCAGCAATACCTGAAGGCCGGAGAGAGACTTGATTCAGAAGGACTTCAAACCTTGGAAAGATGGTTAAACGTGCTCTAAGCAGCATTTTTAAACACATTTTGGACAATTGAATCTGTGCCACGAAGAGTTAAAGCAGCTCTGAAGAAGAAAATAATGTCCAACCAGCAAGTTGTACCTAATATGAGTTGAGGCTGATGAGTGTATAAGATCACACACAACTTTTCTGTGACAAACTCACATGATGCTGACATTCAGACTATGACTGTTTTCCTGTCGTACGTAATAAACAAAAACTGAACCACAATAAACGCACACGATAAAGCAATTTGTTACATGTCGGTAATTTTGTGTTTTCACAATCAAACAGGCATTCCAATGTTCTACGTGTTCTATTTTTGATGTGAGTGAAAAAATTTTTGCTTTTTTTTTTGGTCTTTATGATGTTAAATATCAGCTTGTTAGTGTCTTCCTCGCTAGCTTTACTGTTTCCAGGCTGTAGCTTGTTGCTAACGGTTACCGCGTCTAGTCCCGGTGACTGAGAAGTCAATAGAATAAATAAAGCAAATTTACCGCGGAGTAAATCCGGTCCAGAGCCCGCCTGCTGAGTGCCTCCATCTTCTGTTAAAAACTAAAAACTAAACACAAACGCCGCCTCAGTTTAGTTTGTTTACAGTTCTTCTTCTTCGACTATCGCTGCTTCTTCTTCTTGGATTTTCGGCAGACTCAACAAAAGGCGTATTGCTGCCCCTTCAGGTCCTTCAATCAATCAGCAGGAGATGTCAAATAAAGAAAATCAAATAAATTAGATAAATAGAATAACGGATGGTTATAATAGGTTATAAAATAATAGGAATATAACATTTTAAAAAAATATATGCTATTTTTATATAAATATATACAAATAAAATCAAATACTATGTAAATATCAATCTAGAATGTTACCTCAGCTGCACGTGCAGTAGACAGCAGTGAGTGTGCAATTGCATGTGTGCAAACAGAGGAATATAGATGGAGGTAAAACAAGTTTACAAACTCCTGTCAGGTGTTTCGGAGTCTGATGGCAGGAAGAAAGAGTTCTTCAGTCACACACTTCTACACCTCCAGCAAGAGGCTGGGAGTGTGAACACAGTTTGTTGGTAGTGAGTAGGGTCTTTAAGGGAGGAGCCAGGTATCCTGTGGACTCTGCAATGGTAGATAGAGATGTAAAGGACCTTCTTTTTCTTTCTTTTTGCAGCCTAATATTGGCCTCTGTCCCCATGAACAGAGATCAGATTCAGGAAAATGCTTGTTAGTGTGCAAACTACTTTACTGAGAATTCAGGGGCTGTGTAAGAAATGACTGAAACTCATGAATAGTTGTTGTTAAACATCTTAAATTTAGGCTAAAGATCAGCACTACAGTAGTTCTACAGTTGATTTCAAATATAGACTGGGGGTATACAAGTCATCTAGATTGCACTTATCAACATTCTTTTTTCCAATACATCCACTATCCTTCCTGCACACATGCACAATCTCAGCCTTGATCCTCTCTAACCCAAGTGGGATAATATGCCTACTCCCCGGAGAGTCTTCTTCTCTTGCTCTGAAGTAATTTTTCTAATCAAGGAAACGATCTTGCGATCCCCTATGGGCTCAAATTGTGGTCATAAATATTTTGTACTTGTAAATCAGGATTTGTATGTGTAAAAAAGAATTTGTGTGTGTGTGTAAAAAAGATTTGTATATGTAAAAAGAATTTGTGTGTGTGTAAAAAAGATTTGTATGTGTAAAAAGAATTTGTGTGTGTGTAAAAAAGCCAAACCCATGTGTTCTCTGATTGACATGACATTGGCCAATCAGATGAAAGGAAGAAAAATAGGGTCACAATTCGTACTTGTAACTTGAAACTTGAGTGCAGACTATCTCACGTATTTTTTGGCTAAGTCCACACACAAATCTTTTTTAAGCACACACAAATTTTTTTACACACACAAATTATTTTTACACACATACAAATCAAATCAAATCACTTTTATTGTCACATCGCATGTGCAGGCACACTGGCACAGCACATGCGAGTGAAATTCTTGTGTGCGAGCCCCACAAGCAACAGAAATGTGCAAACACAACAACACAAACCAGCAAATACAAGAATGGCTACATCATACAAATCCTTATTTACAAGTGCAAAATATTTGAGCCCATATCCCCCCGTGCTGTCCCTCACACCCTGTGCTGCAGATCGCATTCAGAATCCTCGTACCATCACCCCACCCGACTAGGTGGCAGTGATAAACTGATTGTGGGGGCTGACCACAGAAGAAGACGAAGAAAACTCGACTGTCATTGTATTTCCCATCATCCATCGCGGCGTTTTTCTCGTTCCAGCTGTGAGGAGCGTCGCTTCTGATGACAGTGACAGGCAGATGTGTGTGTTTCTCACAGCAGTCGGTTTCTAAACGGATCGATACAGTGTGTGTCCGGGGCCATCGTTGAGCTCGGTGACGGCGGATGCCGCTGAAAGCGCGGAGCTCGACCCGGAGGAGGAGAAAGAATCCGGATGAGGAGCAACCCGCGGAGCCTGCTGCTTCCTCAGCTCAGGTACGAAGCTAACAGGCATGCTAACAGGCTGGGGGAAGCCGTTTGTTTGAACCCGGCTAGCTTTGGTTAGCATGTTGGTCTGGTAGCAACCTCGGCATCGGTCCTCCTAGAATATGTTGTAAGTAATAAAATAAACAAGATAATGTTTTAAAACATCATTGTTGTTATGGAGAAAGAATTAAAGAGTAAAGCCAAGTAATTAAACGCAGATTTTTATAATGACCGTAGAAAATAACAAATGTGGGCTAAATGCTAACAGGCAGGGAGCTTCTGTTAGCCAGAGATAGCATGTAGGGTTTTTAAGCAACGATGAGCATCCCTAGCTTAAAAATCTTTAAACAAAAAAACATATTTAATTTAAACAATTAGATTTTTCGTGAATAATCTTTGCAAAATTAAAGGTCTTTATAGAATTTATAGAATTAAACAAAATGGAAGGCTTAGGTAACAGCTAGCTGTTGTGTTAGCAGGCTAACAAACTCAGGGGAGTTCTTCCGTGTCGGTAATTGGGTGAATAATTAGAATAATAATCAGTGTTAATATTAACACAACTGTGTGAAGGGTTTCCACAGATGGAGGGTTAAACAGACGGATGATTTAAACAAACAGAGGCTCTGACAGGTGCAAAGTGTTTACCGCAGTGTTCAATCCTGACTGTGAGCTTCAGTTAGTCAGTGTTAGCACGCTAACATAGTGGCTACAAGGAGCATCAGTGAAGTATAAATCTATAAAGAACAGCACCACAAGAGGGGCTTTGATTTACAGTTAAGTTATTTTTCAATAAAAATTCAAATATAAAAGCAGAAAGTCAAATGGGTAGCGAAATTTAAAGAGTGACAAAGAAGCAGTAGCTGCTAGCTGTGTTGGTGCCACAGCTTTCCTGTGTTTTTAGATCAAAGTGAGGCACTGGGGAGCCATGTGACCTGATTAATTTGTAATCCAGGACTTTGTTGTTGTTCTCAGCAGGTGTCATTTCACCAACAGTTCTGAATCCTGAAAGCTGAATAAGGACACATTTCTTCCTGCGTTGTTTGTTTTCAGGTGATGGCACCGACGCGAATGAAGCTGCGCGTTCGCCGCCGTGACAATGCAGCCGCAGGTGCTGCAGGACGTGGTGCTGCGCTGGAGGAAGATGAAGAGCAGAAGAGTCGAGAGAGTGGCAGCAGGAGGAAAAACGCTGGCAGATCTTCTACTGCGGCCACATCCTCCTCGTCCTTGTCTCCACCCGCGTCCTCCGCCTCAACGTCAGCACGCCCCCATCTGATGGCAGCAGAGGAGGCGTCGCCTGACTCCAAGTGCCCCATCTGCCTGGACCGTTTCAACAACTTGGCATTCCTGGACCGCTGCAAGCACCGCTTCTGCTTCCCGTGCATCCAGGAGTGGTCTCACAAAAAGCCAGAGTGTCCGCTTTGCAAGCAGCCCTTTGCCTCAATCTTTTACCGGAACCAAGCTGAGGATGACTTCAAGGAATATACGCTACGCTCAGCGCCCCCCAGCAGCAGCGTGGCCGCTACTGTGGCAATGGTGGCAGCGATGGCGTCAGCTGCAAGAAGCAGCCATCAAATGAGGCTAATGCTGAGGCGGCACCGGGTGTCAGAGGCTGGCGAGACAACAACAAGGAGGCGGCGGAGGGAGAGAGGGGCCAGAAGGGCGGAGGAGAGGGCAGGGAGTTGGGAGTGGTACCTCGATTCCCCTCCCCTTCCACTCCCTCCTCTTCCTCACCCTCCAGTCGTTGCTGAGGACAGTGAGGATGGGGAGGAACAGAGGATAAGAGGAGGTGCTGATTTGGTGGAGCGCGGTGTGATATTTGAAGGACTAACAGGCCTTGGAGGGGCAGTGGCACCCATTGCCCCCAATGACCGGGCATCACGGCGACTGATGACTCGCTTAGCGGCAAGGCAGCGTTTGCAGCGTGAAGGTGGAACCGTGCGTCGACTTAGGGAGAGAGAGACGGTGGCTTTTCGCCGTGGCCTCTATCGCTGTGGCATTCGGGTCCGTGGGGTTGCCGAAGTACACGGCAACGAGGGACAGCGTGACATCACGGCAGATAGCTTCCGTCGGAACCCTGCCCACTTGAACAGGCTCCGCCCCTGGCTGCGGAGGGAGCTCACGGTGCTGTATGGCTCGCACACCTCGTTGGTTGACATCGTTCAGCGCATCATCATGGCAAGGCTCGCCCGCCACGGCCTGGAGAATACACCCAACATAGAAGAAGAGTTGCGGCCATTCTTGCTGGCACGCACTGAGCACTTCCTGCATGAGCTCATCAGCTTCGCCCGCTCGTCGCTCAGCCTGGAAAACTACGACCTGCAGGCGGTGTACGAGCCACCGGACGCTGCAGTGGAACTGGATGGGATGAGCAGCTCGTCCGATGGCAGCTCTGTCATTGCCATCTCCGAGGGGGAGGATGAAGAGAGGGGGGCAGGGGGAGGGTCCGAGGAGATGCTGGGGAGGGAGGTGGGAGCTCAAGATGACCCCATCCAAACAGCGAGTGTCCTTAGCCTTTCGGGTTGGGACGATGAAACCCCAGGCCCCTCCTACTCCACCGCCGAGCCTTCATCTTCGTTCAGTCCTGCCCTGCCGGAGGCAGCCAATCAGGATGGAGGAGAAAGGCAGGGAGAAGAGGATGAGTGTCTCATCGTTGGGTACAAGAAGCCGATTGCAGAACGGACGCCAGAGTTGGTGCAGCTCTCCTCTGACACAGAAGAAGAGGAGGTAGAGAAGAAGAAAGAGGAGGAGGCTCCTCCTCCCCCCTCTGCAACACCTCCCCTCTCTTACCTACCAGCGATCCCTCCCTCCACATCAGGTACTTACAGAGAGGAGCAGGACAAGGGGCAGAAAATTGGCGAGGTGGCAGGACAGCGCTCACGTGCACGCTCATGGTCAGGGAGCTCTGGTCGGAGCAGGAGCTCTGTGTGCACGCTCAGCCCGGCGACGCCTGGAGAGACTGAGCGGCAACAGGAGATGGGGAGCTGGAGAGACAGGAAGTCCACCAGTGAGGCAGCAAGAGAGAAGAGGAGGAAGAGAAGGCAAGAACGCAGCAGCAACCAGCACAGGAAAAGTGGCACTCTGTTCAACCCAAATCGCTCCATTTATCCCGCCATGATGCGGCACCGCTCCTCGCCTCCGTTTGACTCCAGCGCTGACTCCAGCTCCCCGCCGTCGCCCAGCCCGCCGGACTCCAGCTGGGAGTACCCCTGCGCCCAGGTGTCCCCTCTCACCTCCTCTGCCTCTTCACCATCCCTCTCCTCGTCCTCACCACGTCCTCCCCCACCACCACCGCGGACGCCACCGACGCCCACGCTGTCCCCCAGCGACAGCGCTCATCACGGAGAAAAACCCGGCGGGAAAAGGAAATGCAAGAGCCGCCACCTGGACAACAATGTCAAGGATCCCACATGGAGGCCGAGCGGCAGTGGCGTTATTCGCAAGGAGAAGAGGAAAGAGAGGAGGAAGAGGAAGGAGCGAGACAGAGGAAGGAGAAGGGAGAGGCACAGGCGGGCGAGCAGTGGCTACGGTGGCGAGAGGTAAGAGGCCACTGGATTTATTATTATTATTAGACTTTCCAGAAGAGTGTAAATTATCAGTGGTCTATTATTGACTGTTTTTGACAAATTTTGATTTGCAGGATAAGCCGGTTTCACCCACCACCCTCACATGTGATTTGGGTTTCATTTGACTTGTACCGTATTTTTCGGACCATAAGGCACTCTGTCGATGAACGGGTCTGTTTTCATACATAGGGCGCATTAAGCGAAGCGAAACAAAACAGTCAGATAAGTCAAACTTTACTCAACTCATTCTTCTTGATTCCTCCGCTTCCGTACGATTGATTCATTAATGTTAAATTCTTTGGCAGCTGCTCTATTCCCGTGTTGTTGCAGTATATTAATGACTAACCTCGTATTGTGGATGGATTATCTCAGTAGTTCTCCTGACTGAAGTTTGGTCCATTTACAGCATCCTGCCATACGAGTGTATTTGTCCCCAACCATTGGGAACCCTCACATTAACTTTTACCGAGTGGGAGTTAGCATTCATCCTCCAGCTTCACTGCGTTTGTTATGCTAACATAGCTGTGTCGCTAGCAATCACGTAGCACATAATTATATACCAGCTAGCCCAACTTCAGTAACCCTACAAACGTCACTGCTGTTTAGTTTTTTGTCTTCATTTATGTTGGAAGTGACAGCAGAGCTGTACGTTTACATTTTTTTCAGAAATCTCTCAGTCAGAACATGCAATATCGTGTTTCACCTGTCTATTTCCACCCTGCAATGTTAGTGATGACGTCCAATTCCAACAAAGTGCCAGCAGCAGCAGTATTATACTGCAACAGTTGTAACACAGGCATTATATCCAGTAATGCAGCCTAAGTTTAAGGACCTGCAAACGGTGACATCACCACAGCTCTGTAACATTTACACCAAGCTTTGCAAACATAAGGCTCGGGGTCCAGAATCAGCCTGACAAAGAAGGAAATGTCAAGGAAATAACTTTTGTATTTCTGTCTGTGTTTTTAAACATTTTACAGCTTTTCCTAAAGATAAAGACCTCTCCTGATAGCTACCCCCAAATAATTTAGCAATAATAGTTCAAGAAATGAAAAGTGACTTCTTTGTTTGTTTGTTTTTTTTAAATGGATCCACAGTGGGTGGGGGGATTTTCTTCAAATTAACAAAAAGGTTGTTTTAAAATCACAGGACAGTGCTGTGAGTGAAAAACTTGAGCTACTAAGTTTTTCGGTAATTTGACACATTTATTTTGCCGACTGAAGCTACCACAAAGCGCTACTTGCACAAGCAGACATGATGTCACTGGTTGTACGGTGAAACTAAGAAACATTTCCTACCTGGGATGTTGCCTGTGGGTTCTCATCGTTTTGACCTCTTGTGATTTTCAAAATCATGTAAATGAATTCCCCACAGGGGATGTGATTTTGAACCCATAAATATTAATGTAAAAGTGTTCCCGCAGGCCAGTGGTGCCTAGCAACATTGTTTATACATTTTGATGTGATGGCTGCTTAAACGTGAGCCATAGCTAGCTAGACCTGATTGATAGGTAAACAGAAGAAGCAAGTGTTTAGGTTTTGAAAATGGTTATCTTTGGTTAATCACTAAGCTGCAGCTCTTTATTCAGGGGACGATGCATGAAAAATGAATCCTTTACCACGAGAGATCAGCATTAACGTATTCCTCTTTATTCTGGAAACAGACACAGTTTTGTTGTATTTTCTTAAGTTTAAATGAACCTCAGTCTAATATTAATGTTTGGGATTTTCTTTTCAGCAATGAAAAGGCTTCATGTTCGCGTGTTGTTTCTCCTCTTACTGTTGATTTCTTTTTTTAGAGTTGCTTTCCTGACTCTAAAACTGTCAGCTGAAACATCTCACCAGCTGTTTGGGTGTGAAGTGCTCAGCTCAACAAATGAGGAAGACCTCTCAATAGCTTCCTGTGGTTCAGGTGTTTTAATGACGTTTCCAGAAGTTGCTCACTCCATGCTCTCTCTCTGCAGCAGCAGGAGGTCCAGACAAGACCGCAGCCCCAGCGTGGAGATCGTCTACGAGGGCACCATCACCGCCGACGGGGCGCAGCCTCCTGCACACAAACGGCGCCGGAAACGTCATCGCAAGGCTCAGCAGAGCAGGTACGAGGTGTCACCCTGCTGGGAGGGGAAAAAAGCTTTGTTTTAGCACATTACACAAATTCATACAGCTGACAGTAATTAACACGTAAAGAAGAGTCTGAGACGAAGCGAAGTGGTCGTCACCTGATTAACTGTGAAATCAGTTATTTTGAATGAACACAGTGATGAAACTCTTCTGTTGATCATCATCAGGTGTACCGTTTGCACAGGTGATATCAGTTTTTGAATGTGAGATGTTACACATCCACTCTACAAGTCTTTGTCAATCCCTGCATCACACTTTGCTCACAGACGGGGAACAGAAACGCTATTTAGAAATTACAGGCTGCTACATTTCTGCTGCTACATTTCCAGCCTAAAGGTGGATTTTTCTGCCTGTATTTCTCTGGTTTGTTTAGGATATATTACTTTCTTTCGAGGAGGGGGCCTAAGGCAAGGCAAGTTTATTTGTATAGCACAATTCAACAACAAGGTGATTCAAAGTGCTTTACAGAGACATTAGAAACAAAAACAGATAAAAGGCATGATTTAAAATTGATTAAAACAAGCAAACAAACAAACTAATTAACAAACAAACAAACAAAACAGTATATAAAATCAAAACAGATAAAATCA